GACTCATTTTGTAGTTGACATAATTTCTCAATCCTCCTGCCTCCCCAGTCCTTTTATAAACTTTAAAGTCTGTACCACTAACCCTACATTTTTCCTTCCTCTATACATGATTTCTTCTTCCTACTGATAATATTCCCAAGTGCTACCAGTATTATCTGTAGCTGTATTTCCCTCTTCTGAAGCTATAGAGAATTCAGCTGGTTGGAGGGAGGGAAAGGAGACTTTCGCAGTTCCAGGTCATCTCAAGAAAACTCAGTTGAATATGCAGAAGTTTTCAAGGCTGTCCCTGTACAACATTGCTCTTCAGGTGTGTTCTAACTACCATCTCTCCAGCTGATCACATCTAATTTCTCTATGCAGAACAATGGACAGAAGAGAAGCCACAATCCACTACAAGCCTCAGCCCAAACAGCCCAAACAGCCCAAACACAGTGAGGAAAATTGGAAGATGAAGCCTCAAACTTACTGTTTAAAGGTTTAGTCCCTTCAAGCCTTAAGCAATCTCATTTGCCTTACATTTTTCCAATTATAGGGAGTTTGGGTTTTTCTTAAGACTAGGTGTCAGAGCTAGTATGAACGTATATACTTATAATTTCAAGACTAAGCAGGCTTAGTAGACAGGATAATTGCCTTAAATTCAAAGCCACCCTGGACTATATAGATAGCAGTAGTCTACTTTGGTGGCAGTATAAGTCTTTGAAAATACCACTACTACCACACACACCACCACCACCACCAACACCAACACCAACACCAACAACATCAACAACAACAACAATCATATGTCTAGTTTTATAGTTCAGTGTGTAGCCATGCAGGAGTCCCAGTGTTCTTGGCCAGCATCAAATCAAATCTGGTGGTTCATGGTCAGAATCTCAGTATTGGGAGTCAGAGACAAGAGGAGCATTTAGTCAAAGTCATCTTCCAACATACAGAGTTTGAGGCCAGTCTAGAATTCATGACACTGTTTCAAAACAAACAGCATCCCACACCTCAAATCCTAATGCCCAACTCTGAGATAGGTGACTTGGCAGCTCACAGCAACCACATATTCCCCATGAATCAGATGTCTCCTAATTGCAGAGAAGAAAACTGGGCATCCATATTTCAAGTAATTATATCTAGTGACTCATATCTGGAATTGGCCTGAAGACTGAATTTGTCCCCTGTACACAGCAGTGTGTAGCTATGAAGTAAGGACTTCCTGCTGGCCCCGTTGGAGGCATTGAAGATCTGTGCATCCAGTGTTCCCTGATGGTCCTGTAGGAGGCATTGGTGAGATGAGTAGTCAGTGTTTTCTGATAGTCCCTTGGGAATAAATGAGGAAGATGTTTTTGAGGTCATAGGGATCCCAACCTTAGCCAATAAGGAAGGCAGGAAGGCTTTTAGCCTTGCAACAAGTCAGAAACAGATGTTTTATTGCACTTTTGTGGCAGTTCTAAAGTAGCACCCTGTAAGTACACCTGGTTTACTGGAGTCCCTGCTTCAACTCATACCAATAAGGGGTGGAGGAAGTTTGCACTGGCACTCCTATCTAACATGAGTTTGTCCTTTCTTTTGCTCTGTGGGACTTTTGGGTCTTGATTTGAACTTAAATTTTAAAGAATCCCACTCTCCCAGGACACATCTCAGGAGAGGCACATTCCTTAGTCAGAGGACACTTGCTAGATTAACATTCAGAAGAAAAAAGGAGAGGCTGATTAACATTCCTCAGACCACAGGGAAGGGAACCCACCTGAGCGAAAGGAAGGCCCAGAGCACACAGACACATTCCAGGACACTCATTGTCATAATCTGAGTGACCTAGAGGCCAGACCTGGGAAGGTCAGGCTTTGTGGTTTCCCTTGTGAACTCAGTATAAAAACTGTTCCCAACTTTGACTCGCGGTTCCTCTTGTCTGCATATAGGGGGACGCTAGTATAGTGATTAAAATGTTAACAGCTCATACATATCATAATAATGGAACAAAATATCTTTCACACATGGGTTGCATGGGAAATGTCCCTGAAAGAAGTTGTGTAGACACATTGCTGTTCCTGGACTTTCTGACTTAATGAGAGTTGTCTGTGCTGAAAATGTGACAACTACAAGCTGGGTCAGATTTAGTAGCAAAAGAAGGCTGTGCTGTCTGTCTCTTGAGTACTCGCTACCTATGGTAGCTTTGCATTTATTCCCCAGAATGCAAGGGGAAGATCCAGCATGCTTTTTGCAGCTTGTCACCTAACATCTTTTGCCTTTTAGTGTCTATTATAATGGTAAATGACGGCCCTCAGGACCTGGAGTTTGCAAGTAGTCCCTTGACCATGTTCAAGTTATTTCTGATTGGAGAAAAAAAGCTGCCAACAGCTCATAGCTGAGTCGAAGAGACATAGTTGTTGTTTTGGTTTCTTGGGATTTGGGTAAGTGATAATGGAGAAAGGCTTGAAGGAGAGATAATGAGAAACCATCATGGAATAGCTGAGACATAAAATTATGGCTCTGTTGGCTAGCCAATTGGAGATAAGAGCAGCCCAGATGAATCATAGTAAGTGGTAAGAAATAATTTGAGGTGACTGATAGGAAATTGGTCTTGTGCTGATTAAGACTTATTAGAATTATAAAACTGTATGTATTTTCTCTACGAACTCAATAACCACACGTGAGGTAGAAGCCCTCTGATGTATTTAAATAATTTTCATAACAGATATGAAAATGTAATTGTTATCATCAGTTCATCATAAAAGTCACGGAGATGATAAGGATGCAGGGCTTATACCTTATCATAGTAAAGACTACATGTAGCAAACTTAGGCCAACATAATATTAAATTGGGAAAAAAAGATAGCATTCCACTACAATGAGGAACAAGACAAGATTTTCTAGTCTTTACAATACTACTCAATAAAACGCTTTGAGTTAAACTCATAAGCTAAGGAAATAAAACAAGAGAATGAAAGAAATGTATGCAAACAGGAAAAAAATCTTTTTTCAGATAATAAGTTTAAGAGATTCCACCATAAAAGACCTCTCCCAAAATTTCTGCTGAAATTTTTAGTAAATTTAAATCACACAAAATATTTACAGATTATCACATACATTCATTGTTGTGTAATATATCAATGATAAGACAGTGTGAGAGAGAGGTGAAGAGAGAGATTATAGAGAGTGTGAGAAACGAATATCAGAGAGAGTGTATGTGTGAATGTTAGAGATCATCTAATATATTCCATGCAAATCTCCTATAGATAATTTCAAGAATAGCATTGAAGTGTATTGTGTGGTCTTTACAATCTTCAGCAATTTTACTGGTAGGTATGTTAGAAAGATTGCAAAATGTAGAGCAACAGGATGTTTACTATGAGAATCCATCTCTTAGAAATGTTAGAAAGGCTACACCCATGAAGTACCAAAAACATGGCTTCCTACACAAACCCTGAAAGAGGAATGTACTAACATAAATGGTAACATGCACAGTGTGAATATCATCAGGCACTAACCACAGACAGATAATTAGAGACAACCAAGAAATACTGAGATTGGGAGAAATACTCTTCCCAAGAGAAGAGCCTATAAATTTTCATCCAACACTAGCTGGTGTAGAACTGTGAAAGGCAGCCTGGTTACTGGTGGAATACAGGCTAGAAACCACTGGAGACTACTCAGGAAACCCCGCCTTCCGTAGATTTATGTGCTTTAGTCATGTAGGGCAATGCCACAGGTAGAGGGCATAACTACAGGCCACGGATCTTCATGACAGATCTCCATATTAATGAAGGACCTTAAGGCCAGAAGGGTGAAAGCAATTAAGCATTCCTTCCCAGATCCTCTACCCTGTAAATGGTATTTAATCTCAGGCCTTCCCTGAGGTACTGGGATATAGTATCTCATCCACTTTCCTCCATGACAATAAACATCTTAAATCCATGAATTGTTTTTTTCAAGAGTATCCACTATTGAGAACAATGGAGCATTTACCTACAGAGCTACCAACTAATATCCCACAGAAGACCTTTCCGTGTTTCCAGCCACAGCAATCACCAATACAAGCCAAGATCCAGCAGGACACAGCCAGATCTTCTCTGCCTTTCTCACCCCTTCAGCTGTGGGCCAATACAGCCTGTAGCCCCGACCTCATTCTTGGCTCTTTTATGGCTCCCGTTTGCTCCTGGAGTCCCAAGAGCCTGAAAACCAGTCAGTCTCTGGACTTGTCACAGGCATGGAGACTCCTGAGCCAACTCCAACAGTCCCCAGGCACGTCAGACTGCACTTCGCCACCCCCAGAGTGAGGTCTTGTGACTTCCCATAGCCCAACACCCACCCTGCACTGTTGTGGAGAGAGTGCAGTCAAACTCCCTGTACCTTTGTCTCCCTGAGTGGTCCTAACCCCATGGTAGGGCAGACACAGTACTTTACACTTTAACTCAACAAACTGGTTAGACCTTAAATCTATTACATACAAGTAACATTTTATAGAGAAAGGACGTTTTATTTAAATACTCTCCCACACACAGACTTATACACACAAACGCACATACATATGCTTGTGTGTGTACACATATGTGTGTTAGTGTGGGGGATTGTATGTTAGAGTAGTTAAAGAAATATAGGCCATGAATTTGAGAGAGATTCAGAGGTGTACATGGAAAGGATTGGAGGGAAAAAAGAGAAAGCATGGAGTTAATGCAAGTATAATTAATTTTTTAAAAGAAAACATTTTACAGTTTTTTTGTTTGTTCTCCTGCATCATTTTATATTTTGTTTTTTAAAAGAAAACATTAAAAAATTTTTTTTAGTTTGTTTTCTGCAATATATATATATATATATATATATATATATATATATACACACACACACATATATCATATGTATATTTTCCTGGGATTATTTGTATTCTAAAATTATGATGTAATCATATGATTAAAATAATGATTCAATTATATATGTTTCAATTTATATTGTAAAAGATATAAATCAATTTATATTATATTGTTTTGCGTGTTCTTTTTTTTTTTTTTTAAACCTCTGCAATTATTAGTTTATTAGTATCATCCAGGACTCATGTTCAGTATTCCTCCTCAAATTACATTAACAAACGCAAATGTAAAGAACCCAAGTCAAAATTATATAACAGCAGTCCATCACAAAAGCGTGTAAAATTACAAGAACGCTATTTTAAAACACTGGCACTTTAAGAGAACGATAATCTCAAAAAAACCCCACAAAATTGCCAAATTGTTCCCTAAACTAAGCAGATTAAACATGATTAATGAATGAGTTTGGGTTTTATAAAGAAAAAGCAAATGGATTGGACAACTGGTACTAATATGCAAAGTTTATCCTCTTTCCTTGTATCTGATTTATAAAGGGACAAACCACAATATAGGAAAATATACCCTTCATTTTAAATGTGGCATAACTTTAAAAGCTGGCTCAATTAAATATACCTTTAAACAGTCAAGTTTCCTGAGCAATCCGTATTTAGATAGTAGGGCAAATGCATTATAGCCAGCGTTCTCATGATAGCCTTCGCTGGGACTAAGGTCAATGAATAGTATGGCAGTCTTGTATTTTAAGTTCACGCTTTTGGGGATACATTCTCAGGTCTTTAGTAGGGGAAAACTGCAAAATATAACTGTCATTACATAGTAATGGCAGTTAAAGGAGAGTCCTCATGTAAGGATTAGAACATACTTTTCTATTAGTCCTTCAAGGACAGACTTTCAGATTGCTTGATTCTAATAATCCCATGGTGTGACAGAATTGATCACTCCTTGCTTTGCCAAGTAGGTTATATAATCTCTTATTCAACTAATCACGTTTTTGGAGATTCTTTAACTATGGATGAAAATGTTACCCCTACCATAATATGCAGGGTGTGTGGACAAAAGCTTTTTTCCAGCTAACTACATGAAAAGATACACACTGTAATAATCCATGTGACCCAAAATGGGCAAAAGCAAAAGACTAGCTTCCCCTCGAGAAGAAAACTTTCAGACCTATGAAAAGGACAACAATACTAATAAAAAAAATTGTATTTACTTAGAAGCATTCAGAATGTCAACAAAACAGCTGCAATTTTTTTTTTTGCAATTACAGAGTGGTATTCAGTTAACAGAACAACAATTATCTTCGTATAAGCTGCATCAGAGACAACTGAAGATGGAAAAAAAAAACCCAAAAATAAAACCAAAAGAAAAGAAAAACAAAAACCAAACTACTGTCCCCATATATAACTAATTTGTGCTGTGCACCAACAAGAACCTGCTTTAAATTTCCATGCCAATTTACAACCCCCAGACTGTACCAGGCAAGGTTAGTGGCTATTGAAAATACCACCAGGACAGGGCTATCTAAAGACACATTCGGTAGTGTGTTAACTATACAAAAAAAGACACTGTACAGTTTAAAAACAAATCTTACACAGCCTTACATTTCAATTTTTTTCTTTAAAAGGAGTGAGTTGTGTACAGGGGGGTTAAATGCTTTATAGACAAGAAAAAAACTGCGCTAGAACCAACTTATTCATCATCATCATCTTCTTCTTCATCTTCGTCTTCCTCTTCTTCCTCCTCTTCCTCATCCTCTTCATCTTCCTCATCATCTTCCTCTTCCTTCTTTTTCTTGCTCTTTTCAGCCTTGACTACCCCCTTTTTTGCTGCATCAGGTTTTCCTTTAGCTCTGTAGGCAGCAATATCCTTCTCATACTTCTCCTTCAGCTTGGCAGCCTTCTTCTCGTAGGGCTGCTTGTCATCCGCTGCAGTGTTGTTCCACATCTCTCCTAGCTTCTTTGCAACATCACCAATGGATAAGCCAGGATGCTCGCCTTTGATTTTTGGGCGGTACTCAGAACAGAACAAGAAGAAGGCCGAAGGAGGCCTCTTGGGTGCATTGGGGTCCTTGAACTTCTTTTTGGTCTCCCCTTTGGGAGGGATGTAGGTTTTCATTTCTCTTTCATAACGAGCCTTGTCAGCCTTTGCCATATCTTCAAATTTCCCCTTTTCTTTAGCAGACATAGTCTTCCACCTCTCTGAGCACTTCTTGGAGAACTCTGAGAAGTTGACAGAAGCATCTGGGTGCTTCTTCTTGTGCTCCTCCCGGCAGGTTTGCACAAAGAATGCATATGAGAACATTTTGCCTCTCGGCTTCTTAGGATCTCCTTTGCCCATGTTTAGTTGATTTTCCTCCGCGAGGCACAGAGTCGCCCAGTGCCCGTCCGGCTCTCGCTTGCCCCGGCGCTGTCTCTATGGAGCTCAATGTACTGCCTGTTTTGCGTGTTCTAATGCTCTCCAGTGCTACTTGTGATACCATGGTATTTTTTTTTTTACTTCAACTTCCTCACATAAACTTTTTAGATTTGACTGGCTATGTTCTTCTGTACTTTACTATAAAATGGGGCAGGCTATGTGTTTCAATGATGAAAAATAAACTGAATAAAACTGAGAACAACACCAATAACCTATAAGATAGCATATACTTGAATCATAGAACATGGAGAAAATCAAGCTGTTCTTCACATAGAAACTTCATCCATAGTGACTCCATAAAGAGTGCTGAAAAACGATGCTAGAATTAATCATAAATCTTATCCAGCTGTGATCTCTCAGAGCTATACCAAGAGTTGGGTGAAATATTGTCATGACCATCTTGCAAGAAAATAACCATTTCATGAAGAAATGAACATCCATTTCACCAGATGGAACACTTGTATTTCCCCATTATCAGGGTCAAGAATATGTGTCTAGAATATACTTATACTTGGTGTAGTCACACCAAATTAGAATTAAGACCATCAAACTAAATTTTGACTGAATCAAGCAAGCTTTACTTTTGTGCATAGAAAACTTGATCCCACATCTATCTTCCCTAATGTGGGCATGGGAGAATAGATATGAGTTGATTTTCTAGGGTATTTATATAGGGTTAACCCATAAAATAGATCTTTAGTAGGAATCTCACAACACAGGCACTTGGCAAGCTAAATACAGAATCAGAGTGAAGGTGAAGAGTACTTGGCATACCATCTTGTGGCTAGGGGAAGGAAGGATGTAAAGATATAGTCAGGGTAAGGGACAAGTCATACTCTAGAAGATAGAGAAATGAGTTACAGAGTAAACAAAGATGAAAGATCTTTGATCATGTAACAGGAAGACTACTGTTATTAAGAGGAGTCAACTTGCTTCATCCTTAATACTGTTATTCTGCATAAAGGTTATGGAAGTAAATGGGCCACTATACTATAACCTTTATATGCAGGGATGAGTACCTCTCTCATTAAAGAAGACATTTTGCCATAATATGTTAATTAACACAAATTCATTCGTTAAAGGTCTGAAAATAAAAGTTTATGGAAAGCCCAAATAAAACATAGAATATCTATGTCAAAACTCTTCCTTCTAATATTCGGGGTTCATCATGGAAGAAGAGACAGTAAGAATGTTAGGTACCTCCTTGTTGTAATATAGAGGTTTTAAACACAGAGAGCAGAGGTCTTGAACATGTGAATTTATGTATTATGAGTGTATACACAAAACATGACCAGATCAACAAGAAAATTACCATCTGAGAGAGAAAGGTCAGGATGCCTCACTCCTAGCTGAAGAGCTATTGGTTTACAGGTACCAGCTGATAGAGGAAGTGTCTGATTTCATTAAGATTTCAAAATTTTAGAAACTAGTCATGTTTCCATCAATACTCCTCTTCTAGGCACATTCTAGATTCATTAAGAAAACTCAAAGTTTTGATTGTTTGTTTTAAGAAACCCCTGAAAGGTAGAGAAAATTTTGGTGGTTAGTTAGGAAGGAATTTGAAGGAAATAATTATTTGTAGACATGAGTAAAACACACACATGTATAAAACACTCAGCCATTTTAATTACTAAATGTTGTAAAACTCCTAAGAATAAACTATGTTGTTTTTTGTTGAAAGAAGTCAGTGAATCCTGGATTGGAATCAACAAATAGTCATCTCTAACTTTCTCATAATTCTGACCTTAAAGTTTCATGTACTCTCCATAGGAGACTTGTTTGGCCTTCATGGATCATGAAAACACAATCACTCCTAAAGATGTTTAACTTATCCCTTTGAATAAATTCACAAAAAAACGTTTTCCAAAGTGTCTTTATTAATTAACAACTGGAAAATTTAATACATGATCTTTTTCCCAAAGCCAGTGTTGTCATGCCACTGGGAGAGAAATGAAAATTGCAGATCTGGAGGGAGATGAAGTCACAGTGTCAAAGACCTGTACTCAGGCTTGACTCTGTTACAACACTGCTTATTAATGAGTCTGGATGTGCTCAATGAACTCATTGTGCTGCAGAGGGAAGAAGTGTGGTGACCACTTTGTATTTCAGTCTGAGTGGCACTCAGCAAAGAAGAGAATCCTGAGTAAATGCTCAGGTCTGCTAACTGAAAAGTGCCTTCAAAAGAGATCCATGGAACAGACAGAGAAGGTACAAGAATAATTCCACAATTAAAAATGATTGAAAAAGTTATACAGTTTCTTCTCCCTGGTCCAGTCCCTGTCATTTCTTAGTGCAATATAATTTTCCAACAGAGGTTGACTGTGAGTAATACCAGGATAATGCAACCCATCTGTGCAGGTGTTGAGTGGTTGTGGTAATTAGTAAATGTCATAGGCACCTTACTGTACATGATGTGGAGACTAACTTTAAATTCTAGTTATGATTTCACCAATTATATTTCAGACCATAGGCAACATTACAATGGAAATATAAGTAGCACACAATTCTGGAAAGTGCAGGATATGCTTTTGGAGTGAAAAGTACTCATATGTGACAGTACAATTTTGATCTTGCTACAGCGGCACTGAGTTCATATTGAGTGGACATCGGTACAATGTCTGGTTTGAGGATCTGTCATAAATGTGGGAAGGCAACATGGAAGGTAAGGTATAGTATGAGTATTGAGCAGTGACTACCAGGACCAAGTGCGTCTTGTAATATTTTCCAAGGTTTAATCATATTCTATGCATGACCTGATAACATTCCTAACTCTCTGTTTATTGTTGTTATTCATGGAGCACTGCCCCCTTTTCAAGATGTACCATGTTTAATCTTTCAGATAAATTTGTATCCACACTTGGTGATATATCCCATTGGACAATGTTTAAGGTTTAACAGTCTTCAGATTGTTTATTGTGAGCTTTATTGTGTTTCACACAATTCCTCTATCATATGCATCCTAAATTCTTTATAGTAGAGTCATCAATTTAGGAATGGTCAATTAAGCCAGGTGTGTGATGAAAGCCTTTAATTCCAGCATTTGTGAGACAGGAGTTAGCAGATCTTTGTGATTTTGAGGACAAAATGATCTACATAGTGATTTTCAGAACATATACAGCTAAATTGTAAGAACAAGTCATGAGAAAAATACATTTAAAAGAGCAAATACATGCTGAGTTTTAAAGGAAATGTTTTAGTGACTTAATTTTCATTCCATGCTATTATTTGTTAAACATATGTTCTTATTTTATGTTGTGTTCTGTACAGGGTGATCATATTAGTAATTCATATGTTTTTCCTCCTATAGCCTTTATCTCTCCAGTGACAATATGTTATATGCTTAGTGATATATTAATTATCAAATCTACCTTGTACTTCAGAAATCAACCTGCAAAATGGGACAGCTTTCTGTCAGGTCAGACTACACTGAGTAAACTGCATTTTATTAAAAGCTCAAAGGCATTAGCATTTGACATTTGCTTATGAAGTAAAACTATGTTAGAGTGAAAATTTATTTTTGAAATGATTCATATATCTATATGTTTGTGAGTGTGTGTGCATGTCCATGTGTGTTTGCATATGTGTGTGTATGTGTGTGAACATACACATGTTTTTTTTGCACATATATATGTGTACTATGGTAATCCAGTGTCTGCAGGGGCCAGTAGACTGTGTCAGGACCCATGGATTTGGAGTTACGAACAGTTTTGAGGTACTATGTGGGTTCTGGCAACCAAACACAGATCCTCTGAAACCCAGGTAAGTGTTTCTGACCACTGAGCCATCTCTCTTGTTCTCTAGTATCAAAACTTTTGCAGCAAAAAGTGAACAATAATATACAAACAAAGTGAACACAATGTCAAGTGAGAAACACAGACTGCATACAAGGGCAGGCAGTGTGCAAGCATCTCTCTTGACTTTATGAGAACAGACTGAGGGGCTTTGTTTATACCATGCTAGACATTTCCAAGTCCTTCAAGTATCCACTCTGTCTCTAAAACATTTTTGTATTTAAAGTGACACTCTTTGTTTTTTATAAGTTCCTGTTCTGTCTGAGGAAATAATGTTACTGTACACACCCTACAGTAGTAAACATCAAAGACAATGTCAACCTGAGAAATTACTGTGGTTAAACAATTATCACTCTTTGCCACATTCACACTTAGCTCAGAACAGTTATATTTTACATTTAACGCTTAACAAGTAATGATATTTTAAAAGGTGAATATTTATGAGGGAGAATATTGGAATTCAGTGAATGTGACCATTGTGACCACACTGTAACTTTTGTGTATAGAACCCTATGGCTATGAAGTCAAATGTACAGATTGGGCACACTGACCTCACAGATCTGAGCACAGAAGAGGCCACATAGCATGATCAACATTGGTAACTGTTTTTTTTTTCTTTAGCATTGCATCTTACATCACTAAACTGAATTTAGACAGCTATCCAAAAACTCAACTGTTAAGTATGTGGAACAGAGATTTATTGTCATACAAGGAGTCCTAAAGTCACAATGGCTTTTAGAATAATGCATCTTGTCAATACTTCGGTTTCTTTATCATTCTCACAGAGGTGGAAGGATAACATCACTGGAATTTTCCAATAAATTTGCCTAGCCTCCAAGCAAGCAAACACCTTCAGGTAAATAGAACTTAAGAAGCTTCCAAGGATGTTCGATTTTTACTTGTTCCCTGTTGGACCATGTATATTCTTATCTACATGTATTTCCTACATGTGTGTTCCTCAGATAAAGCACCAAAATCTCAAATAAAAAAACATGGTTGTGATAGTATTCTGATCAACATTTTAATGAACTCAAACCTCAGCTAGTATCATTGCTTCAAATATTGGATCATATCTCTTTAGATATTAGACTCAAATTGTGACTCTGTGAGACAAATTTATGTATACCAGCTTACATTACT